AACAGAATGAAGCAAAACATTTTAACACTGAACATGCTGAAGGATAGTTTTGAACAATCAACCCAGAAGTTAGTTTTAAGAGTGTCTGCTTCTATAGACAGACTGTGTTTAAAATATATCATGGAAGAGTTTTAGGACATTATTTGAAATGACTAAAGAACAAGATTTTTAAAGTAAAAAGAAGAAATACAAAGTTGGTTTATTTGATCAAGGTTAAAATAGATCTGTTCTTATCTCTGCTAACTCTTAATGGGTTTTGCTGATAAGGACTGAAACAATGAATTTTTAAGGATTTTTTTAAACATAGGAGATGAGATTTGGAAAGAAGGGATAATTTACTGTATTTTAAAAGAAAGAGAGAAATTATTAAAATTGTTTATACTTGCTGTAATGAAGGGAAAGTCATTTCATTATATATTTCTCTTTTCTTTACTATATTCTTATTTTTCTTTCTTATTTGTCTTTTCATTTTTTTCCTTTTTCCACTATTTTTGATTTTTATTCTTTTTTTTAGTTTGCTTTAGTTTTTATTTTTATTTTGTTAATAAAATTATTTTAAAAAATACCGGTGGTGCATTATGCCCCATCAGTTGAACTAAAAGGACTTTTGTTGCCTTTTCTCCGAATTCTTTATGAAAATGCTTTTTCTCAGAAAGAAATTTTATACAAGGACACACACTTCCTGTGCTGTTGTGCCAAAGATAGCAAGACCACTTTACCTACAATGCCCTGTATTGAGGAGTGTTCTGTCCCAATAATTTATTTGGGCCTGGTGGGTTCCTGATGTTTTGCTCTGATGACCTGCAAGACATTGCCATCTGCTCTCCTGCACATCAATGGTTGACATTCTGAGGAATCTTTATTCCTTATGCCTTGATAGGTTTAGTCTTTAAAGTGCCACAAGATTCATATTTCATATTGTAGATGCCACATTAAGATCTTACAATAGAGAATTTGAAGGAGAAAACATAAAAATCCTTTCATTTTAATATTTTGCATTTTTTTTAAAAGTAGTAAATTTATGAATAAATGGCAAATATATGAAAAAAGGCACTCAACTGATGGACATTTTATATTAAAAAAAGTGGCTCGCATGAGGAATCTGAGTTTCCTGCCATCTCCTAACAGCCACAAATAATTCAGCTCATTCAATCTGGTTGCAGAATTCCAGTTTTTTCAGACCATTTGACCCTTATTTCAACCTTGATGATTGAACATCCTATGAAATTCAGCCAAAAACACACTAACCCCATAGACAGAAAGTCTTTGTGTTATACATAGGTAATGCTTCTTAAGGAAGCCAACCTTGGGATGTAACTCTTAAAATAGGTGGATAGTAATAGGTTGGAGAAAACTGGCATCAATTGTAGGCACATAAAACTGCATTGACTTATTTATTCCAGTTTTCATATTCCAGTTTTCTGCCAATGTTAAAAAGAAGATGGTGGACCCATATTCTCAATTGATCTCTTATCTCATCACTGAGATTTTCAACATTAAAGTAGTTCCTGAGAATTCCTTTATTCTGCTTTGCTTCTGGAACTGTCTGCAGCACCAATTACATTTTTTACCTCCTGCAGTTAAAATCAAGGAAACTGGAGTAAGTCACCAGGACTGAGCTTGAGTCACAGCAGACTTGAATGACCTCGTTACTCAGATTCTAATTTCCCTGAATCTATGGATGGCCTGTAGCTTTACAGAATGGATAGAAGAATTGCTTCCACATCAGAAATATTCTATGCCGTTAATGAATCCTATTGCTGTGCTTTGGAGCAATTATAATATTCTGCACATTTTTGTTCATTTTATATTGCATGATCTAAATCTGCATTGAGGGTTCTCTTCAGCCAAAAGAAAGGATACAATTTTGTTGGGATTTTTTTTTTCCTATTGCGTGCTTTGACTCTCAATTAATCCAATTTAATTTCAGCAAACCCCATGGTATACAAGACCATCTTCATCCAATTGTTTCAATAATTTGATCCACTAAATAATAAACCTTATTTACATGAGCCGGCCTGATGCAGGATTAGCATTATTCCACTGTCTCTGTAACACACTGTCAGTCTTATTGAGATCTTCTGCAACTGAACTAATTAATTCTGAGTCCATCACTGCTGAAGATAATACTGCAACATCTCCTGAAGAGGTGAGGAGCAACCTATTTCCCATTGATTAGAAATCTTGCCTCATCTCATTTTTGCATTCCCTGGACACTCCTCCATTTTGTGATGCCTTGCTACCATTCCCTCAACTTCTTCAATACATATTTGCTGTTCCTTCCTTGTGCAGTGTATAGGGTCCCCCCCCCCTTTACTGCAAAACAAGGATGGTGACAAGCAGTGCTTTTTTTCTAAAAAAAAAAAAAAGTGCTGGAACTCACACACGTCATACAACCCTCCTTGCCTACCCTACAAGGTTCCATCCAAAAAAGGTGCCGGAACTCCGTTCTGGGCGTTCTATGAGAAAAAAAGCCCTGGTGACAAGACCACCAAGTTTTGCATTCCCCCATTAGCCATATGGAGCATCCTTTCATGATGTTTCTGATTCATGAGCTGTAAAGACACATGTGGAGTGGCATGACTGAAAGTTGGGGTCCAGAGGTAGAAGCTGATGCTAATGGAAATGCCCTTACAGGCAGCCCAAAACTGTGCTTTTGATGCAAGAGAGAAATTATGCAGTTCACTTGTTTATATGGTAGCGGGACTGGATTAAGGTAAATGAAGCCCTAAGCAGAGCCCAACTATGGTGCCCTTGGCCCTTCCACTGCTTAACTGACACATTAAGGCTCAATGCTGAAAACCAAAGTCAAAGGCAACTGTGAAAGAATTAAGGGCATGATAGCTGGGAGGACAAAATGATGGGGTGCCCTCTTCCCTTGGTGCCCTAAAAACATGCTCTTCCTTTGCTTAATGGTTAATCCAAGGGTGAGTGGTGGACCCACACAGTGTAACCACATGGTTTATATGCATGTGTAGCTACAATCAAAAGAGACATCAAGAAGATGTTGCTATGTGGATTAAATACTTCAGAATATACTTGGAAAGACTGTCTATATGCTATCTGTGCTTGCTTTTTGTCTTTTGTCTGTATTGGTAGTTTTATTTTATATCACGAGGTACTAAAAATAGAAGTGTGGTTCATCTGTTTTGGCAAATCCATCCTCCAATGTTATGCTAGCATTTCCCTCTGAAATTCATTATTATATACAATTAGTATGTGTGTCTATTCCATTGTCCTGTTTCCCTCTCTATGCCAATCTCCATAAGGATTAATCAGATCACAGGTTTTTCTGGATCATAAGTTGTTATTTTCATTACCTTAACTGTCTCTAGAACTTTAGCCTGAATATTTAATGGGAGGACTTAGGTATAAATAAGTAGAGAAATAGTAAGAAATAAGGAAAAGAGAAGAAACAAATGAAAAGTATGTATGTATAGGGGCATACTTGGTGATCAAAGAAGTCAAAGTGGTGGCCACAAACGTGTGTGGAAATTCCATCCATTTTTAATGGGTGACACACATACAAACAGACAAATCTTCAATCGTACCATTTCAGCTGCCAGTTTGACTTATTTAACCACTCCTTACAATCCCCCTCTAAGGGAAATATCAAAGCGGAATCAAAAGTTTTGTTTTTATGAGGAATGGAATTCCTGTCTCTCCTTTCAATGCCTTCTGCTCTACAAGTTTCCTCATCTTTATTTATTTATTTATTGAATTTATTTACTGCCCATCTCATAGCAAACAACTCTGGGTGGCAAGTAGAAGGCTCAGAAAATCAGGTAGTTTATGGTAATTGTACGGATATCTGATCTTGGTGCAGATGGGCCTAAGAAGGAGCACCATGTATTACAATCCTTATTATTACCATTCCTTAGTATTCCCCATCACTGCAATGGCTTTTACCCAAATGATTGTAATTAACAAAACAATGGCATAACAACAACAACAACAACATCTGCCCGAGCTCTTCCTGCACAGCCCACATGATGATCAAACAACCACAAAACCCACATTCCCTCCCTATACCACCCACAATGGCTTCTATTCACCATCAGATGGTTCTTGCTGTTCCAAGGCAAGGGGAGACCAGAGGCAGAAACAAATCCAAACACTGAAACGTGCAGCCTCCAAACACGCTTTTCCTCATCCATGCGTAAGTCTTGACACCTTTTGTTGCAATCACAGTGAGGAGAATTTGGTAGAAGATCACATGGAAACACCAGGTTTACTTTAAAAAAAAAAAAAGGTGGGACGGAGGGGGAGTTATACACTACGCACCACACAGCCTTTCAGTGAGGCATTCTCTTTGCATTTTTGCCAGCAGTTCAGCCTTGTCAATTAAGCCTGGCTGTAAGGCAGAGGAAAGTTGAAACAGCATTGCTAAAACATCCACTCAAGGATCCTCACTTGACGTTTTGTTCTGTAAGAATCTTGGCTTTTTTTTTTTAAGTTTAGCAAAGAAAGGGAAAAAACCTGCCTTAATCTTCTGCTTCATTCCTCTTTGATGGGACAGGCAAGGTTTTGGTTTTTGTTTTAATTCATGTGCGAGCAGAGAGATTCTGAAGATGGCCTTGAGAAGGTTAAATTTTAGAGAGGTAACTAAATAGGTTCATTTATTGTTTATATTTCCCCAATACAATGTTTTATTTTATTTTTTTTGTTTTCTTTACTCCTTGTAAAAGTACCTGATTCACCAAGATACCCTTTCCCCTTCCCTATCACATCACACCCAACTGGCGGTAGACAGATGCAACAATAAGTTCGTTTGATGTTTGAAGTGGGATGCTGAAGATTTTTTTTTAGGAGCTGAATGGAAGAGCAATGTTGCCGAAAAGCTATTCCTTTCTCCAGGAAAAAATAACAAGAACAATACAAAGCTGTAGAGAAGATGTAGGGGCCCCATTGGACTCCACTCTACCATGGCACTGGCAACTGTTTGAGATCTATATATAATATATGTTTATGTATATTAATTTATATTTATATATGTATAATATGTATATTTATAGGCTTGTTTGTACTTGTCTTAGCACACTGTCCCATTCTCAGGTCTTGATTTGGGGCAATTGGTCCTGGGGACAGGTTGAACAGAAGGGGCCAAGGTACAGAAGAAGCCAGAGATCAAAGTAAGACCTAGGCCTCCCCATGCACAAAACATGGACCAGCCGTAGCCATGACTGATGTCATCAGGGAGTCCATACAGGTACCGGGGGTATCGGGAGAGCTCAAAGTTGATTCCAGCTACACATGTGCACAGTGATATTATGCAGAAGGTTCCTGGAGGAGAAAAAGAAAAAAAAAGAAAGAAAAAAGAGGAAAAAAAAACAAGAAGAATGAGTTAGAATTATCACAATAACTCTTTGCTCTTTCTTTGTCTACAAAGAAAGTAGTTGGAGAAAGAACAGGAAAATCAGAGATGGATGACTCAGGAATTTTAGAATGCCAGTTAGTTAATTTAAAATATTTTTATTCTATCTTCAGTTTCCAAGGTAATTGCCCAAACTTAAAATATACAACTAATAATTAAAACAGTAAGTGTCCAAGATAATGGCCCTTAGGGTATGATTTTATAGGTCAATGGATTGATTGGAAACTCCCACTTACTCCCACTACAACAGCTACTAACAATTTTTGTTTAAAAATATGTACTATTCCAGCCAAAAATTTAGAACATCTAGTCAAATACAGTAATCATAATTTAGAAGAAAAAACCCCCACAATCCAGTGGATCTAAACTATACTCCTTTGGAGGACTTCGTAGTTTGAGTACATTTAGGTTTGCAGCTTTTCAGGGAATATAATATCGGTGGCACTTTCATCTTGAACATGTCATCCTTCTGATAAAGCTCTTTTTTGTCAATGAGAGGCAATACTGTCCCATCCTAAAAATACTCTGAGAGCCATCCAAAAGCTCATGAGATTATACATTACACTGCAAACATCAGAAAAGTATATTGGAAGGCTGCAATAGCAAACAACTTCCATATGATTGTTCATGTGCTCATTAGGATTGAATGCTGTTCAAGAAAGACTTTCTTGTACCTTTGGTGAACAGCTGAGTTCCTCAAAACTCATATTTGCTACAATGAATTTTGAGGAGCATCATTTATGTCACACTTATGGATCCATCTGAGAAGCTTAATGAGAACTGGAAAAAGCATAGTAGAAGCCAAACTGATAACTCATTTTCTTAGCCATTTACAATAGATCTCATTATATTCTTATGGTTCTTACATGTATACAACCTCAGTGTTATTTGCTTCATCCTACTGTAATGTATTAGTACAAGAATGGTCCTTCAAACTGCTTGTCCTTAGTATTGTTTGAGTTCTATGTCTACATTTCCCTATCCAGATTTGTGATGATGGGAATTGGTCCTTGGAGAACATTAGGTTACATGTAGTAAGCTTTGCAGTATGCAGTATTTATTTCTTCCTAGCAATGAAAGAGTTATCTTTAGCAATAGCAATAGCACTTAGACTTATATATCACTTCATAGTGATTTACAGCCCTCTTTAAGCGGTTTACAGAGTCAGCATATTGCCCCCAACAATCTGGGTCCTCATTTTACTGACCTCAGAAGGATGGAAGGCTGAGTCAACCTTGAGCAGCTCAGAATGGAACTCCTGGAGTGAACAGTGAGTTAGCCTGCAATACTGAATTTTAACCACTGTGCCATCACGGCTTTATTTGTCAACCGTCTTTCAACTGCTGGAAAAAGACTCTATTTCTGCCCCAAATGAATGGAAATATTGAATAAAAGCATGTTGAGAAATTCCATCATCATTTAAAGTCATATAAATTGAAAGCACCCTTCCAACCAACAGAGGTTGGATTAAATCACCTAACTCTGTTCCCATTCCAAATTCTGAATATGTGCAGATCTATTTGATTGTTCAATTTTTTGCTTTCCTGCTTGATATGTAGCAAAGATGAACAATATCAAAATGATACAATAGAAAGCAGATAAGGCACAACTATCATGTACTTGCTGCCCATTGTTTGGAGGGGCTAATGCAGAGGTCCCCAACCATTTGGACACCAGGGACCGGTTCTGTGGAGAAAGGTTTTTCCATGGACTGGAGACTACGTGTTTTTGTGTGCTGCCTGCATCCCACAGATGGGGCTTTGCTTGCTTGTGCGGACCAGTTGCTGGAATGCTGCGGCCCGGTACCAGTCCATGGACCAGGGGTTGGGGACCCCTGGGCTAATGGATATTCTGAATAGCTAGCTATTATTTCCATGCAATTCCAATTAACAATCAGTCAATAATAGGAGAACCTCATTTAATTTTTGCTTGTGACCCACCATGGCAAATGAAATATGAGTCAATAAAAATGTGATTCATATTTCAGACCTCATTAGGAAAGAATATGTTTGCATTAGTAATTAAAACCTCTGGTTCCAGGTTCTACTGGCAGGGTTAAATGATGGTTCTCTTAGGATAAATCAACTTAACTTTCTAACTTGATTGGTTTGTGATTATGATCCTATATGACAGGGTTCTCAAACTGCCGGCCCATAGGCTGGACGAGTCATGCAGAAGCCACGCCCACCCCATTGCCGGCAATGGCAAAACTGTCCCGATACTTTGCACGACGTCACATGACATTGCGAGTTTGATATGTCTGCTATATGAGTACAATAGCTCTTTCTTTCCATTTCAAGGGAGACAGAGCCATGTTTCTGATACGGCAGGAGGCTTGAAGCTGAGTCTTCAGTATACCGCTGCTGCCATACTGCTGGATTATATTCCTTTCCTTTTAAAATTGTACTTTAGAGCAGAAACTGTGCTTCAATAACTTAGTGAATTTATGTGACTTAAATGTGATTTATCTGACTTAACTGTATTGCAAATGGGGAAGAATCCCAACTGATGCCCTGTGAACCAAATAGGGAAGCACAGCAAGCCAATGCAGTTTGCTGGCTGAAATCTCCTCATTGCACCCAGGGATTCCTAAGCAATTCACTTGATTTCTCACGTGGGGTCCATGTGTCACCATCACAGCCCGAATCCTAGCCCAGTGATTTTTGCTGACTTTCAGATTTTTGATTAAAAATAGACACAAGCTTAGTTCATACAATATATTTAACAAGGCCAAGTAAATGTGACATGTTAAACTTGGTTATTATTAACTTCAGTAGTTTTAGGGGAATGACCTATTTTTGACTTACTGAGTTCTGCAAAACAAACCAGTTTATTTAGATTATAGTTCAGGGTATGATACAAACTCAAAAAGAATAATTCAATTAACTAGGTAAAGCTGGTGTTTAATTGCAGCCAGTAAGGTTGCTTGAGCACAGATAATTCAGCACTTTCCAAGGTAACCATAACCATAACTTCTACCATCTTTTTTTTCTATTTTTTTTCTTGGTATAAAAATGTAAGTGTTTAAATATGGATTAGGAATCCTGCAGAGACTGTTGAAATTTATTTTGTCTGTCAGCCCCAGCAATGTGGCCCAATGTCCAGGGAATTAGATCTGGGGAAAATGAGTTTCAAGTCGTCCTTCACCTCATTGATTGACTTTAGGATCACTTACTCTCTCAGTCCAAACTATTTCATAGAGTTTGTGGACAGAAAAAGAAATGGAAGAAGAAATCTTATATTTGTTGCCTTGAAGTTCCCATATTTGTGTGTCTCTCCATCCACTGATCCTTCTATCTATCTATCTATCTATCTATCTATCTATCTATCTATCTATCTATCTATCTATCTATCTATCTATCTATCTATCTATCTATCTATCTATCTATCATCTATCTATCTTAGAGATGGTGCTTGGTTAAAATTCAACTTAGATTTAGATTTATTAAATTTATACCCCGCCCTTCTCCCGGAGGACTCAGGGCGGCTTACAGCCAGTTTAAAACAATGATATAATACAATACAAAATTTAAAAAGATTAAAAATAACTATTTAAATTTGGCCGCTTCTACTAAAAATTTAATTTAAAAACCCCTTTAAAATACCCCTAGGCCAGTCCTGCCTGCTGAAATAACCAGGT